CCCGGCCAACAAAAATGGGAAATTTGTCATTTCATGACCTTTGATACCTTGTATGCAGTATGGGTTCTGCTCATTATTAAAGGCTGTATGGTGAACTATAGTTGCTAACCTACTACTTCAATTGGTATTTGGTGGAGAGTTATCTCATGCAATCATACAACATATTATTTGTAAAAAGGGTCTTTCAAGGGCAATAACTCCTAGAAGTAGTCTACTGATGATTTCTGGCATGTAACTTATTTGTAAATCTTGTCCTGCTGATCATTTTTGGAATTCATAGTTTCTCTATCTATTATAGTTTTCAAAATAATAGCCAAAATTGCAATAAGGTGAAAATTGTTATTGAAGGGCTATAACTCGTATGAGGAGTTGTCTGACAGTTTCGTCATGATAAATGTGAACCAATTGAAATGACAAAACCAGGGAATTGATTTATGCTAAAACAATAAACCATCATCAAATATGACATGCAGCATTCAACGAAAACCACATAAAGAATTTTTCTGAGTGCATAACCTTCCCCCTGACCTGAAACAGTTGTGTAACAGCTATAGAAATTATACAAGTCAGTAGGGAACGCCTAGACTCATCTGATCGACAAGAAGCACAAAAACAACTTACAAAAAGACTAAAGACACAGAGTACCAATCTTAGAGACAAGCAGTTACTGAACATTGTAGTTCAAAGCTCACTGCAACATACAAATAAATCATGTTTTACCAGACTTAAAATATCAATCAGTACTCATCTAATGTAATTAGTGTGGAGATGTCATAAACAGCCTGAGAAAAGCATGACCTTGTGCAATGCAATAAATTAAGTATCAGCATGATATAGGCCAATAAGTGTGCATAACTGTATAGCAATATATTTTAAGTTAAGTTTTTATCTATCGAAAAACAGAACAGTGTTAGAAAGTGTAGTATAGCTCCTTATGTATAACATAGAATGAATCATTTTTTTTTATCTGAAACTACTAGATATTTCTTACCCAATATTTATTCCATTAAATCATAATGAAACAAATGATCTTTTAATACAGCTTGAGTGTCCTGACTTTCTGTCAGAATATATTTGTCCTAACTTTTTGTCAGAATATATTTGTCCTGACTTTTTGTCAGAATATATTTGTCCTGACTTTCTGTCAGGATATATTTGTCCTGACTTTCTGTCAGAATATATTTGTCCTAACTTTTTGTCAGAATATATTTGTCCTGACTTTTTGTCAGAATATATTTGTCCTGACTTTCTGTCAGGATATATTTGTCCTGACTTTCTGTCAGAATATATTTGTCCTGACTTTTTGTCAGAATATATTTGTCCTGACTTTTTGTCAGAATATATTTGTCCTGACTTTTTGTCAAAATATATTTGTCCTGACTTTTTGTCAGAATATATTTGTTTAACTTTTCTTTTCATAAGTTGATCAGCACTAATAAAAATTACTCAAATAATAAGTTAACACAAGTATTCTAGTAGAACTTGACTTGCTAAAAGAGATAAAAAAAATTGTGTTCTCTCAAATATTGAATTGTTACTTAATGATTAAATAAAAACGATTTTAGAAGAAGGATCCATAGGAGATAAATCAGATTAACTGACAAAGGATACCCTACTGACCACTTCATTATGTTATTTATGTGAGAAATTCTATAGAGTAAACCATGTCTACAGGGATATGACAATTGACAAAAAATCCTTTAAAAAATTGATCAAGCAATTATTTGCAAGGTCAGAACTTGGTCAACAGAGTGTTAGAAATGATCTTGTGAATACTTGACAATATAGTTTACTCCTACTTAAATTTACATCATGCATTTTAATTCAGAAGACCTCCAAGTGCAGAAAGTTCAAGGAAGGTATTCTCATAAAATCAAAATCTTCACAATTTTAGCTAAGTTCTTTTATCTTTAAACATCCAAGTCTAGATTTACTCAGTTATATATAAGAAACAGAATAATGAAAGCTGACTTCACCAAATAACCATAAAACCAATCCCAGTACAACCAAAGGTGGCTATAACTTCTTAAAATCAACCATAGTTGGCTATAAACAAGCAATACATCTTCACAAGTTCTTCTCAAAACTATCAAATTAATAATTCCGTCTGTTTCAAAATTTATACCATAAACAAACCTACTGCAGTTGTTCATAAATAAATAAAAAACATATCTTTATAATACTCATGCATCCAATCACAGCACTCCAAAATTGCCTTTCTTCACATGGGAACACAAAAGGGCAACCTAAAGCCAGGAAAATTAAAATACTACTACTTTCCCTAGAATCTACACCAAGTTTGTACAGGAAGTTTCATTACTGTACCCTATTTTCTAACATTTTGAAGTCTTTTCTTTTCCATTAAATATTTACAAACAAATAGTTACATATCATGATACAAACTCCCCGACTTTCTCCTGATGGCCTAATTCTAAGAGCAGAAATTAATTAAAACTTAGAAAAGTCCAGCAGATACATTTTTATGAATTCATGTAAAACTGAAATAATTTTTCAATATCATGCAGACTTGCTGCTTTATCTTACCGAGGTATAGTGGTGTACATATAAATTTAAATTCAGACATATTTATGACTATTTTCTATGATACCAAGTCTTTTGATCTGTTAAATAATATTTCCTGATAAATAAAATGAATAAACCCAGTAAATAAAGAAGTAATTTTAAAACAAATTTTAACTATTGGTAGTTAAATTAATATACTTATATTATATAGGAATTTGAAAGATTAATTTGAAATAAAATATGAAAGTTACAATCCATACTGATAGTTTTACAATTTTGAGAAACATTTTAATTACATTTTTATATCATTTATTTGATAAAATAATCTGGAAGATTGTTTAGTTTCAGGTTTCCCGTCAGCAAAATGTTGTTTAACAGAAAAATTTGTAAGCCTGACTAATCCTTAAACAGCCACTGACAAAAATCAGACAATTGAGTGTCAAGCATAAGTAATATTATCTCACAATAAATTGTTCAGCAGACATTTTTTCTCTTATTTATTAGAGGTTTCAGATTACAGGAAATTAATCAGTGTAGTCAAGGGAAATTTCAATTTACAATATCATTCTTCATTCATGAGTTATTCAACCTGCAGGGATTATTTCCCTACCACAAGTTAACATTTCTGCTGGCGCTATTCAACCTCCAGGGACTATTTCCATGCAGTGATTCTAGCTTTCTGGGGTTATTCAACCTGCAGGGATTTTTTTCCTACCGCAATTTAACATTTCTGGAGCTATTGAACCTCTAGGGACTATTTCCATGCAGAATGTCAATTTTTCTGGGGCTATACAACTTGCAGGGATTAATTCCATGCAGTAAGTCTAGCTTTCTGGGGGTATTCAATAATTCAACCTGCAGGGACTGTTCCATGCAGTAAGTCAAGCTTTCTGGGGGTATTCAACCTGCAGGGATTATTTCAATGCAGTGAGTCTAGCTTTCTGGGGGTATTCAACCTGAAAGGACGATTTCCATGCATTGAGTCAAGCTTTTTTGGGTTATTCAACCTACAGGAACTAATTCCATGCAATGAGTCTAGATTTCTGGGAGTATTCAACCTACAGGGACTATTTCAATGCAGTGAGTCCAGCTTTCTGGGGGTATTTAACCTGCAGGGACTATTTGCATGCAGTGAGTCCAGCTTTCTGGGGGGGTATTTAACCTGCAGGGACTATTTTCATGCAGTGAGTCCAGCTTTCCTGGAGGGGGGGGGGAGTAATTCAACCTGCAGGGACTATTTTCATGCAGTGAGTCAAAGCTTTTTGGCTATAGTGACTTAATTCAATACAGTACATGGCAATTAAAAATCTATTTCAGTTGTGTTAAATAAACTGAAACTACTGTTTGTTAATCAGACAAATGTTCATAAAGCAAATGTGTGGTATCCTCTGCTTTTACTCTACTGGGTTATTTTACAAATAAAAAGTCATATAGTGTAAAGAGTTGACATGAAGGCTAATGTCATGTTCTGCTGATGATAACTTGTTTACAAAGACCTGTCCTCACAGATAAATGTTGTTTATATCCAATGATATGATTGATTTCTACTTTACATGATTGTCCAGGATATTATAACATATACACTATGGCTTTGTCTTATTAAATGCTGATATATTGTTTTTCTGTCATCCTGATCAGAACACATTCAATAATCCTCTGAAATGTTTGATACAGGTGAACAACTCAGGGTGAACATTCACACTGGAGGTAATATTATCATTTCCAAGGTGAACATCTCAGGGTGAACATTCACACTGGAGGTAATATTATCATTTCCAAGGTGAACATCTCAGTGTGAACATTCACACTGGAGGTAATATTATCATTTCCAAGGTGAACATCTCAGGGTGAACATTCACACTGGAGGTAATATTATCAATTCCAAGGTGAACATCTCAGGGTGAACATTCACACTGGAGGTAATATTATCATTTCCAAGGTGAACATCTCGGGGTGAACATTCACACTGGAGGTAATATTATCATTTCCAAGGTGAACATCTCAGGGTGAACATTCACACTGGAGGTAATATTATCATTTCCAAGGTGAACATCTCAGGGTGAACATTCACACTGGAGGTAATATTATCATTTCCAAGGTGAACATCTCAGGGTGAACATTCACACTGGAGGTAATATTATCATTTCCAAGTAGTTATATATAAGGGTGTTTTTTCTACCTTTCTAACATTTAATGTATATCTTCTGTGATTTTCCTAAGTATTGCATTAAAAGTGTGCCTAGTTATTTCAGTATTGTATTACTAGGGCCATATTGGTAAAATTTAAACCTCTATTTCAAGCATGACTTGATAATATAATAAACAGTGCTGCATGCTATGGATAAAATAAAACTTCATTTTAATAAGCAGACTGCCAAACAAATGTTGGTTTTTTTCCAGTTCTCACATGGTTTGAATGTTCAGTGTAAATTGGTTAAAACTTTAATATTAAAGTAACAAAATAACATTTTATTTACTAATAAAATGCTTCGCTGGGCGCAGCTTGATACGACCGCAGAGGTCGAACCCTGAACAGTTGGGGCAAGTATGGACACAACATTCAAGCTTGATACAGCTCTGAATTTGGATTGTGATTAAATATTTGACACAGCATAGGTTTCTGACACAGAAAGAATGTGGTCTAAGAACTTCAATTTTTTTAATTTACCTATTATGGTCCAATGTCCAAAATCAAAATACATGGTTAGATTCAGCATATCAAAGAACCCCATATATTCAATTTTTGTTGAAATCAAACAAAGTTTAATTTTGGACCCCAACTTGGACAAACTTGAAAACTGGTCCCATAATCAAAAATCTAAACACATGTTTAGATTCAGCATATCAAAGTACCCGAAGAATTCAATTTTTGTTAAAATCAAACTAAGTTTAATTTTGGACCCTTTGGACCTTAATGTAGACAAATTTAAAAAACGGGACCCAAAATTAAAAATCTAAAAACACGGTTAGATTTGGCATATCAAAGAACCCCAATTATTCAATTTTTGATGAAATCAAACAAAGTTTAATTTTGGACCCTTTTGACCTCAATATGAACCAATTTGATAGCGGGCCCACAAATAAAAAATCTAAATACATGGTAAGATTCAGCATATCAAAGAACCCCATATATTCAATTTTTGTTGAAATCAAACAAAGTTTAATTTTGGACCCCAATTTGGACCAACTTGAAAACTGGGCCAAAAATCTAAAATCTAAATACATGTTTAGATTCAGCATATCAAAGAACCCCATATATTCAATTTTTGTTGAAATCAAACAAAGTTTAATTTTGGACCCCAACTTGGACCAACTTGAAAACTGGTCCCATAATTAAAAATCTAAACACATGTTTAGATTCAGCATATCAAAGAACCCCAAAAATTCAATTTTTGTTAAAATCAAACTAAGTTTAATTTTGGACCCTTTGGACCTTAATGAAGACCAATTTAAAAAACAGGACCCAAAATTAAAAATCTAAATACACAGTTAGATTTGGCATATCAAAGAACCCCAATAATTCAATTTTTTATGAAATCAAACAAAGTTTAATTTTGGACCCTTTTGACCTCAATATGAACCAATTTGATAGCAGGCCCACAAATAAAAAATCTAAATACATGGTAAGATTCAGCATATCAAAGAACCCCATATATTCAATTTTTGTTGAAATCAAACAAAGTTTAATTTTGGACCCCAATTTGGACCAACTTGAAAACTGGGCCAAAAATCTAAAATCTAAATACATGTTTAGATTTTGCATATCAAATAACCCCATATATTCAATTTTTGTTGAAATCAAACAAAGTTTAATTTTGGACCCCAACTTGGACCAACTTGAAAACTGGGCCCATAATCAAAAATCTAAACACATGTTTAGATTCAGCATATCAAAGAACCCCAAGAATTCAATTTTTGTTAAAATCAAATTAAGTTTAATTTTGGACCCTTTGGACCTTAATGTAGACCAATTTAAAAAACGGGACCCCAAATTAAAAATCTAAATACACGGTTAGATTCGGCATATCAAAGAACCCCAATAATTCAATTTTTGATGAAATCAAACAAAGTTAAATTTTGGACCCTTTGGACCTCAATGTGGACCAATTTAAAAACGGGGCCCAAAATCCAAAAACTTAATACACGGTTAGATTCAGCATATTAAAGAACCCCAAGAATTCAAGAATAAAACCCCATTGAAATTGATCAAGAAATAAGCAATTTATACGAAGTATCTTCTTTTGCACAACACTGTGCAATTGAATATTTCTTGCTATTGCGCAATACTGTACAATTGACAATTTCTTGCTATTGCGCAATATTGTGCTATTGGATATTTCTTGCTATTGCGCAATACTGTGCAATTGAAGATTTCTTGCTATTGCGCAATACTGTGCAATTGAAGATTTCTTGCTATTGTGCAATACTGTGCAATTGAAAATTTCTTGCTATTGCACAATACTTATTATATAATAATTTACACATCCTGTTTGGTGTGTATCTCCTACCATATCATTATTATTTGCTTTTAAATATAAATCAGAAATAATCAACTTAAAATGGAAAATTTTAAAAGAAAAAAAAAAGGAAAAAAAGAAAAAAAAAAAAAAAAAAAAATCTCCCCCCCCAAATTTTTTGAACCCCCTTATGATTCATCACCCCCAAACTCAATCCCAGCCTTCCCTTTGTGGTATGGTACCTTGCAGTACAATTTCAGAGAGATCCATACACTTGAACACAAGTTATTGTCTGGAAACTAGAAAAATGCTTATTTTTGGCCCCTTTTTGGCCCCAAATTCCTAAACGTTTCGGGCAATTACCCCCAAACTCAATTCCAGCTTTCCCTTTGTGATATGGAACCTTGTAGTACAATTTCAGAAATATCCAAACACTTACACACAAGTTATTGTCATGAAACTAGAAAAATGCTTGTTTTTTGCCCCTTTTTTGGCCCCTAATTCCTAAAATTTTGAGGCAATTACCCCCAAAATCAATTACAGCCTTCCCTTTGTGATATGGAACCTTGTGGTACAATGTCAGAGAGATCTATACACTTACACACAAGTTATTGTCTGAAAATTACAAAAATGCTTATTTTTGGCCCCTTTTTGGCCCCTAATTCCTTAACTGTTGGTACCATAACCCCCAAAATCAATCCCAACCTTCCTTTCGTGGTATTGAACCTTATGGTGAAATTTCATGGAGATCCATTCACTTAAACTAAAGTTAGAGTGCGAAAACCAATGTGTCTTCGGACGACGCCAGACGACGCCGGACGACGACGACGACGACGACGACGACGACGACGACGACGACGACGACGCCAACGTCATACCAATATACGACCAAAAAATTTTTAATTTTTGCGGTCGTATAAAAACTGCAATATTTTGTTAAAACTACCAATTCGGTGGCAGCAACCCAACAATAGGTTGATCGATTAGTCTGATAATTATAGGGCCGATAGATCTTGACCAATTAAACAATTTTACCCTTTGTCACATTTGCTCTAAAAGGTTTAGTTTTTGAGATATAAGCCAAAAACTGCATTTGACCCCTATGTTCTATTTTTAGCCATGGCGGCCATGTTTGTCGATGGATCAAAACTTCGGATACAATTTATAAACTAGATACCCTAAGGAACATTTAGTTAAAGTTTGAAGGTATTTGGCCCAGTAGTTTCAGAGGAGAAGATTTTTGAAATAGTTTATGACGACAGACGACGACGACGGACGCCAAGTGATGGCATAAGCTCACATGGGCCCCTTTGGGCCCCGTTGAGCTAAAAAGACTTGAAACATCCCCCCCCCAAAAAAAAAACCAAAAAAAACAAACTTATATGACATAGCAACTATAATACATGAACATAAATGTGAATAAAATGCTCCGCTGGGGCGCAGCTTGATACGACCGCAGAGGTCGAACCCTGTACAGTTGGGGCAAGTATGGACACAACATTCAAGCTTGATACAGCACTGAATTTGGATTGTAATTAAATATTTGACACAGCATAGGTTTCTCACACAGAATGAAAGTGGTCTAAGAACTTAAAATTTTTTAAGTTACCTGTTCAAACCATATTATTATTATTTGCTTTTATATATAAATCAGAAATAACCAATTTAAAATGGAAAATTTTAAAGAAAAAAAAAGGAAAAAAAAATCCCCCCCACCCCCAAATTTTTTGAACCCCCTTATGATTCATCACCCCAAACTCAATCCCAGCTTTCCCTTTGTGGTATGGTACCTTGCAGTACAATTTCAGAGAGATCCATACACTTGAACACAAGTTATTGTCATGAAACTAGAAAAATGCTTATTTTTTGCCCCTTTTTGGCCCCTTATTCCTAAACGTTTTGGGCAATTACCCCCAAACTCAATTCCAGCTTTCCCTTTGTGGTATGGAACCTTGCAGTACAATTTCATAAAGATCCATACACTTACACATAAGTTATTGTCCTGAAACTAGAAAAATGCTTGTTTTTTTGCCCCTTTTATGGCCCCTAATTACTAAAATTTTGAGGGAATTACCCCCCAAAATCAATCCCAGCCTTCCCTTTGTGGTATGGTACCTTGCAGTACAATTTCAGAGAGATCCATACATTATTTGAACACGAGTTATTGTCTGGAAACTAGAAAAATGCTTATTTTTGGCCCCTTTTTGGCCCCTAATTCCTAAAATTTGGAGGCAATTACCCCCAAAATCAATCCCAGCATTCCCTTTGTGATATGGAACCTTGTGGTACAATGTCAGAGAGATCCATACACTTACACACAAGTTATGTCTGGAAGTTACAAAAATGCTTATTTTTGGCCCCTTTTTTACCCCTAATTCCTTAACTGTGGGTACCATAACCCCCAAAATCAATCCCCACCTTCCTTTTGTGGTATTGAACCTTATGGTAAAATTTCATTGAGATCCATTCACTTAAACTAAAGTTAGAGTGCGAAAACTAATGTGTCTTCGGAAGATGACGACGACGCCAACGTCATACCAATATACGACCACAAAAATTTTTTTGCGGTCGCATAAAAATTGTGGAAAAAAATGAAAACTTTTAATAAAATCGAAGCTAACAAAAATGATCATAATTTTGGTATTTTGAAGAACCTAGCAAAATAACTTGTCAAGGTGTTTTGAATCTATATGTATACATGATAAAAATAAAATGCTCTGCTGGGGCACAGCTTGATACGACCGCAGAGGTCGAACCCTGAACAGTTGGGGCAAGTATGGACACAACATTCAAGCTTGATACAGCACTGAATTTGGATTGTAATTAAATATTTGACACAGCATAGGTTTCTCACACAGAATGAAAGTGGTCTAAGAACTTAAAAATTTTCAATTTACCTATCCAAACCATATCATTATTATTTGCTTTTATATATAAATCAGAAATAACCAATTTAAAATGGAAAATTCTGAAGAAAAAAAAGGAAAAAAAAATCCCTCCCCCCAATTTTTTGAATCCCCTTATGATTCATCACCCCAAACTCAATCCCAGCCTTCCCTTTGTGGTATGGTACCTTGCAGTACAATTTCAGAGAGATCCATACACTTGAACACAAGTTATTGTCTGGAAACTAGAAAAATGCTTGTTTTTTGGCCCCAAATTCCTAAACGTTTTGGGCAATTACCCACAAACTCAAACCCAGCTTTCCCTTTGTGATATGGAACCTTGCAGTACAACTTCATAAAGATCCATTCACTAACACACAAGTTATTGTCCTGAAACTAGATAAATGCTTGTTTTTTGCCCCTTTTTTGCCCCTAATTCCTAAAATTTAGAAGCAATTACCCCCAAAATCAATCCCAGCATTCCCTTTATGATATGGAACCTTGTGATACAATGTCAGAGAGATCCATAGACTTACACACAAGTTATTGTCATAAAACTAGAAGAATGCTAGTTTTTTGCCCCTTTTTGGCCCCTAATTCCTAAAATTTGGAGGCAATTACCCCCAAAATCAATCCCAGCATTCCCTTTGTAATATGGAACCTTGTGGTACAATGTCAGAGAGATCCATACACTTACACACAAGTTATGTCTGGAAGTTACAAAAATGCTTATTTTTGGCCCCTTTTTGGCCCTTAATTCCTTAACTGTTGGTACCATAACCCCCAAAATCAATCCCCACCTTCCTTTTGTGGTATTGAACCTTATGCTTTAATTTCATAGAGATCCATTCACTTAAACTAAAGTTAGAGTGCGAAAACTAATGTGTCTTCGGACGACGACGACGCCAACGTCATACCAATATAAGACAACAAAAATTTTTTTGCAGTCGTATAATAAAAAAAACTCATTTTGACCCTGATACCTCCATAAGCCTGAAAATCTCATGGCTGGTCACACATGTGTTACTTAGAAACCGTTATTTATGGCACATATAAAGTCAGTTTCAATGTTCGCAACAACCCTATATTGTAATTTTTTACTCATATAAGCCAAGGAAACATATCCGTTGTGTAGTATAGACATTCATTTCAACACCAGTAATAGAAAAACTAGAGAAAAGGTGGCTTTATTTAAAACATCAGTTTTTTAAAACTTCAATACGATGGTTCGAAACAAAATCCCTGTTTTATTATCAGACAAGTTGTATTTCTGATCTATGATTAAACTCGTACGGAAACCCAGAAATGCTTCATCTGTCTTCGTAAAATTACCTTGTATCTGTTCACATGAAACAATTCAAATTTCAGTCCCTTCATTTTGCATAAAAAATATCATTATTTGAATTACGATCTTGAATTAACACCCACCAAACTAATAAAAACATATGGCAATGTTTATACCATGCAGACATTTTGCTATTGTCAGACATAAGAGAAATAAACACTCTTATAAACGTACATGCATGCAGTTTACAATATCAAAAATAGAAGTCGATGTCTGTAGATCAATGTTTAGTCAGTTAACTGACTATTCAGAGTCAGACATGTCACTTGTACATTCTTGGAAGCCTTCATATACCCCATCAGGTGATAGGAACTCTAATTGATAGTGTTGACAAAACAAGCTTGTACGGTAATTCTGTTTTTCTGTTCAAGTGGTTGGCCTCTCCTGACCCAACAAACAAACTAACGGTACACCATTTGTCTGCTTTGTCTGTACCTCAAGAGCTCGTCTTCAATGGCACTTATACCTCAGGAAACTAATAAAGCTTGTTTCAAGAACAATGGGGTTGAGAAGAACTGTTCTCAAAATCAACATTGTCAGTAATGCATTACTAAGCTATAACTTAAATTAATATTATTACTAATTTGGATTAATAACGGCTACTCTGTAGGGTATTGCACCAAATGATCATATAATATTAAATTGTTATATTTAATTTTCATGTTTTCAAACTTAAAGATATATTGAGGGACCATTTATAACACACTCTTTTCATAAGAAAACAAATATGTGAGTAAAAGTTCATTTGATGAGGAAAATTAGTCTCCTTTGATCTTGAATTAACTTGTTAAAAAAAATCCTCAAACAGAATAAACAAGTGAATCTGTGAGCTACTGCTCACAAATGATACCCCCGCCCCGCTAAAAGTATAAGGTAAGCAGGAAATTGTTGAGTGATGAATCTGAAAACGCATCACACGGTATACCTGACTCATATTAACCCTGAAACCAAATTTCAGAAATCCTTGTAATGTAGTTCCTGAGAAAGATGCGACGAAAAATATTCATGGGATGGACGGACGGACTGACGAATGGACAGTCAGAGTATACGGACTGACAAATGGACAGACAGAGTATACAGTATACCCCCACTTTTTTAAAGCTGGGGTATAATAATTAATTAACTAGCTTAGATTTATAATACATGATGATTGACATTTTTTTCACAAAGAATTCGTCTAGGTGATTGTTATATATGAATTTTATTATGTAAGAATAAAATGTTAAAAAGAATATTAAACTAGACAAAGTGATGCCCCTGCTCACCACTCTGAATTAACTGTATTATAACAAAGCCAATGTAGGACTTTCTTTGAGATATTATTGTGTCTGGGAGACACAAATGATGATCCCACAGATGCAGAGTGTTATTTTAAAATACACAAAGTTGAGCAATGGAGCACATAGGTCTATGGTTCACTGTAGGAGGAGTTATCCGGAAACCCTATGCACCTCTTATGCAAGTATATACTCCAAAAATGACAAAGGTCAACTATCTCCCAAAAGAGCAAATATTAATAAAAATCAAAATCCTGACCACATACACACCTTCAATATATGTACAAACAGTCAGCAAAGTGAAAACTTCCTAGCATTCAAACTGTAGGAGGAGTGATCCGGAAACCCTACGCACCTCTTATGCAAGTATATACTCCAAAAATGACAAAGTTCAACTATCTTCCAAAAGAGCAAATATCAATAAAAATCAAAACACTGACCACATGCACACCTTCAATAAATGTACAAAATACCAGCAAGGTGAAAACTTCCTAGCATTCAACTGTAGGAGGAGTTATTTGGAATAGCTATATACCCATAATGGGACGGACTGACGAACGGACAGGACAGACGGAAGGACGGACGGAAGGACGGACGGACAGGGGTAAAACAATATGTTGGGGAGTTGCGGGGGCATAAAAATTATGCACGTTGTACTGTTGTATTTTTTTGCATTGAAAACTTTACACTTTAGATAGTTTTACGATTGTTTCCACCTGTTAACATTTATACATCGCCAGATTTAAATACAAGTTAAAGAAGTACGGTAAACTAAATTAAACACACGTGCAATGGTTTCTCTCTATTAAATTGGGAAATATAACATTAAAAGCATTATTCTTTTATTCTTCATATTTGAATCTTTACGCTAATTGCATAGTACGTAATCGAAAATTTTTCCTTTTTTAATTTTATACACTGAATACCGTAATTAAAAATTTTAATTTTATTTTGAATTTATACAATTAAATTATTCTTTTCTTATTATCATCGGGTATTTAATCTTGGTATATTAAACTCTCCATACTCTTTCTGTTAATCCATTCAAAATGACAACATTCAAACCTGTAACAGTGTGTGTTCAAACGAAATGTTTTATGTTCTCATCTATTCGAGATTTAAACAATGCATTAACAAAATAATAGAAACATACTATTCACACAGACTTTGTGTAGAAATGGTTGTGGAAATTATTAAGGTAAATAAAAGCGAAAAATATTTTCAGTTCAATATCAGTAAATAATTTGTGTTCAATAAATATTTCCTGAAAAAAATCTCAACAACAATTAATGAAATTAAATCGAAAATATATACCATATAGGAATTTTTATTCAACCAATGCAAAACGGTACGCGCGTTTGTTCATTTTCTTTCATTCTTATATTGTGGTTATTAGCTACAATAAGTACATGTTATCTGGATGTGGATATGTAGATATAGAAAAATATCAGCCCGCGAGCCAGAATATGAAGCTAAATGTCGAGTGAGCGTAGCGAACGAGCCATTTAGCTTCATATTCTGTCGAGGGGGCTGATATTTTTCAATATCTATACAATCCACATTCAGATAACATTTTTATCATCTTTCAAAGCAATGTTTTTTATCAAAATTTCCTTTTTCAATAATTTCGCGGGAATTGTTATTACCAGAGTGTCTCTGTTATTACTAGGCAACACATGTCATCAAAATATTAAACGGCGGATACACCTTGTGGCCAAAATATGCAGGGTAAAATATTCCCATTAACTAGAGGAAGAAAAATGTTTCGTGTACATGATAATGCATATATGAGAGTATAATATTTGAAGCTGATACAAAAAAAAAAAAGAAAAATTAAAGATTATATTGAAAGATCGTAAAATTTCATATCACCAGAAGAAGAAAATTTCTACTCGCTGACCGCTGAACAGCATACGCTTCATAAAAAAATTCCAGAATCACATCAAAATGCTGTTTGTTTTCAAGACTAAAAGTACACATATATATTTAAGTAGTCATAATTCGTAAAGGAGAAGTTAATTTGAGAAAGACAGATGTTGGTAAATTGTCCTTCTTGTATGTAAATACCTCGACATCTCGCACCTTGTACCCGCCATTTGTACGTGAGAAGACAAGGAAGGTAGGTGTTATTTTTGAAACGACTACCCCACCAAATTGCATTGGGACGGTATTCTGGTTCAGGTTATGGGGTACCATTTCCTATAAGTGCTTTGCCAAATGTTATCATTGAGGAAAACATATTTGGTTCAAACATGTCAAATTTTCCGTCAGATATTTTCTTCTGTACTGACAAAAAACAGAACCAGATCACCTGGATTTTTGAAATATTATACAAAATTGATTCGCTGCATTCTGTTTGTCCATGTACATTGATATATCATTCTTTTGATGACTTGGAGTTAAAATGACAAGGTACATCATGTTTATGATTCTTGAAAAAAATTATGCTTTCAGTGTAT